ACTACAGATAGGTTAGTCTTTCAACCTATTACTGCCGCATTCCAGCTAATGGCAAGTTGGGAAAGATTGATCCTTGTGTTTGTCTAAAGCTAAAACAAATGATGTTTTCATTTCTATAAAACTGAGAGACAAACCAGAAATTTTATTTTCGTATCACTCAAAACTTAACTTTATGTACACTATAATATTTAAACTTATTATTTCACCCAAGAATCAAATACATTTTTCACAAACGAACATGGTCTGTAACTGAAAAAAAAGACAATTATAATCGTAAAAGGATCTTTAGTTATAAATCAATTGATTGTTCTTTGACTATTTCAAAACAGATATTTTCCTCATAAAGATTTTGAAACAGTATTTCGGTAACACGTTATGCATTATCTTTTATTTACACTTTATTGAAAGATTATCAATTCTATATTAATTGCCAGTTACAAATCAGTGTTTTATGATTTTGTTATATAAAATTCGTGTTTCATCATAGCCCAATATCTATTGTTAATATATGTAAGCAAAATAACAGAATTAACAAGTATCACACATACTGAAACATTTATTAACAAATGTTCAAGATACAGTAATATCTTATCTATATAAACATCTGAGTTTATAAAATACTGGATTATTTTCATAAAACTTTTGTACATTATATCCACATTACTACTTGTTCATTTCAGTTTGGTATGTAATATTTTTATTATAGTTTGTAAACGAAAATAGTTAGTGTTCAATTCTTGTATTTCGCTGAGTTCATTATACTATACAACAAAAACATTTTACACTCACTATTCAATAAGATTAAACTGTGCCAAATATACAGCAAGTGTTCAAAATTTCAGACAGGGTCAGTCAGAAACTTAACTTATACTCATTTTATGTTGATATCCACTAACAACCTAATTCTACTCTGTTCAGACTAAAGAGCAAATGCCAGATAATTAAATGTGTAGCTTAGTCTTTTATGATAAATTACACACCATGAATATTACTTTCTAACAAGTATGTTTGAACAACTAATACAAGTCTCCATTTATATTTATTATATAAAACTAATGTTTCATCATAGCCCAATATACTATCATTAATATATGTAAGTAAAATCATACACTTAAAAAGCATACTGAAACACGTATTAATAAAACTTCAATATATACTAATATACTATTTACGAAAACATCTTAGTTTATAAAATACTAATTTGCAGCCCAATATTATAATACCAGTGGTATATACTTGTTCTATCACGTTATTAGTCAAATAGAATAAATCCCTGTAAACGAAATATAAGGAATATTTCCCAAAATGATTCGAGTTAATATTATCAAAGTTTAAGTAACTTTTCAGGCTTTTAATGTGAGTACGCATATTAGTATTAACTAATTTATTTGGGCTATCACCACGTTTTTATTTTTTTAATGCACAAGCTTTTGGCTCAATTAACTAAGCCTTCTATAGGTGCGAGAATAAAATTTATTTTAAAAGTAGAGACAAGTAACTCCTTACCATTTCTGTATTTACTGGTTGTAAAGAATAGTGATGACCTGAAACTAAAAACTACTGTTTATCGAAAAGCAACCCATACCAACAAATATATTAACTTCAAATCCTGTCTCCCCAGTGGCACAGCGGTATGTCTGCGGACTTACAATGCTAGAATCCGAGTTTCGATACCCGTGGTGGGCAGAGCACAGATATACCCTTGTGTAGCTTTGTGGTTAATTACAGACAAACAAACAATCAAATCCTGTCACCCCCTATCTGTTAAAAATAGTATAATTAAAATATTAGTCTGCAGAGTGCGTAGAATATGCAGCAACGAATACGTAGAAACTGGACTGCTACAGACTTTTATTAATGATAACTATCTCAAACAATTGGTAAAAGAAAAAAACATAAACAACTCTTTAAAGAGGAACCCCCCCCCCCCTCCCATTAATAAGGAAAATAAACATAGGATGATGATAAACTACCTTTAACATTCAAACTGTGTTCAAGAGCCCGACTAACCCACACAATATCTTAACCAAGGTTAAGTTGCAACATCCGACTTCCACACAAAAAGCTGTCTACAATGTATCATGTGAATGTTATAACGAATACTACGGAGAGACCAAACGTTCTGTTAACATTAGGATGAAAGAACATCAAAGGAACATCGCACATGCTTCTGTAGATAATTCAGCTATACATTTTTATAGTAACTAATTACAATAAGCTTGTAACATTGACTGTAGGGATTTTTGTATGATTTTGTGTATTCACCCCTACCTTGTTTCTGAACTTTTTGACATTGCCATCCCTACATCATACTTAATGTTTACAAAAAAATTATATTACTTGTTTCTCCTCTTTTTTTAAACAATTTCATGGAAGTAAGTTGATAAGTGAACACTTGTTTTATTTTTATAATTGGATGGTAATATATATTGTTAATAGCATATCAGTTTTGTGATTTTCTCTAATTTTGGATGCCATTGAAGCTGAAATGGTTCCTAAATATCAAAGGTTATCGAGCTACCAGCGGAATATATTCCGCAGATAAATTTGAAGAACACAACCGAAACTGTAAGATGGACGATACTGATATTTCTTTACGTGTCTAAAAAAATTACACCCTGAAGAAGATAGACTATGCATAGATCTTGGTAAATTATATTTGTAAACAATAGTAGTTTTAAACTACAAATATGTGAGTTCTAGATCGAAAACAGAAAGTAGTGACTTTCTAATGTACCCCCAAGTCTTGAGAATGTCGTGAAAGTATATTTGGCTTTCTGTTTGTATCGTTATGTAAGGTGGAAGAATAGACAAATTCGTTTTTTCTGTCTGTTAAGTTCAGTGACATACAAAATCCGTTATTCATTAATTAAGTTAGACTTACATACAACTTATTTTGGATGTAAAATATCTTCTGTAATGATAAACAGTACAAGTAATGTATTTATAAAATGTGAAATAATTGCCTTTTCTTTAAAACCATGATTTTGGTTAATGCTTGCAGGAGGACCAAAATCACGGGCTGCTATTGCAATGGCTTCTTGAATTGTCCTTAGCAATTATTTTTATATTCTTGAGGTCAACGTTGTAGTTTTCCTCTGTAGCATTGTAATGCAATGGAACTATTCAGTTTAAATGCTGAATTCATGCAACTGACAGAAATTCAACATTTAGCTATAGATAAAAATTATTCTTGCTACTTATGTAATGATTTTTGTATGGTTGTGTGTATTCATCTCTACCTTGTTTCTGTACTTTTTGGTATTCCCATCCCCACACTATACTCAATTTTTGCAAAATGTTTTTCATTATTTGTATGTATATCTGTGTATATATACATCAACCATTTACTTATTAAGTGTAATATCATAAGCAGCTTTACAGTAAAAATGGGGTTTTTTAATCAATTAAAATTGCGGTATTTCAGCTCGTAGGAGCGGCCCATCGTCAAGCACTGTATGAATAACAACAATTACGAACTCAAAATATGATAACAATAATTTTCGATAGTGGAGGTGTTGAGTTATATGTATATTTTTATTATAAGTTTATTTATTAAGAGCTAATAACGGAAAAATGAGATGAATCAGGACGTAAGTGTATGTGCCTAAGGCAAAAAAAAGTACAGCTGTAGTGGAAGTGTAACTAGTTTTTGTACCCCCGGGAAACCATGCATTAGTGTGCGATTGTAGGGCAGGGCAAATAGATTCAAAAATACTTTTAAAGTTAACGTATTTTTAAACCCTTCATGTAAGTTCATTTGTTTGTTTGCTTTAATTTTTTTGCACGTAGCTACCCAAAAGGCAATTTACACATAGCCATCCCTAATTTTTTTCTGATCGAATAGTGGGATTTAACTGTAATTTTTCATAGCACGCATGGTCTCAGAGTATGCAGCACAAAACAAAAGAGGAAACGTGAATCCCCGGATTCACAACATTGCAGCTATAAGCTTATCTACGACTACTGCATTGAGGAAAAAATACAAAAATTAATTATTTTTAAACTGCTATTTTGAAAATTAGTGGAAAGATTTGTTAATATTACGTTCTTCTGATTGACAATTTTTATCATTAAAATAATAAAAATACCGATGACGTCAGTAAACTAAGAAACGTCATCAAGTCAGTTAAGCAAATAGTAAACTAGACCAAAAGATGTCGGTAAAATTTTTCCTACACTTGAACTGTTATTAGAATTAAGTTCATATAATAGCATACAAAAAATGGTTATTAGCCTAAATATTTACTAAAACATTGTTTATAACAATACGCTAATTACTGATGGATGTTTGTACATGCTGAAACACCATAATTGTATTTCAACCAATTCAAACAGTACTTTATGACACAAGGCGGCCCCCCAGTGGCACAGCGGTATGTCTGCGGACTTACAACGCTAGAATCTGGGTTTCGATACCCGTGGTGGGCAGATCACAGATAGCCCATTGCGTAGCTTTGTGCTTAATTACAAACAAACAGACACAAGGCGACTTAAAATGTTAACACTCTAATAGCATTTCCACTAAATAAACACGCACTATCGATATAATAGATCTGAACTTTAACAATAAAGATATAGCAGGTTCAGATAGGTCTTATTGCTAATGTTTTCATAAACTTTTTTTTTCTAGACTCTCTTACCTACCTATAAACTAGTCAAATAAAATGTACTTGTCGTGTTATGTCAATATTTCTGTGTTGATTGCATGAATTTAATTTTGAACGTATTTGTGAAATCAAGCATTATTTGGTCTATTTTGGAGATATCATTTAACATAACAATACGTTAGAATACTGAATCACTTAAAGAAATTACTTCACTTTTGCACATTTTTCTAATAGAGAAACCAATATTAGATTCTTTTCACACAATATCATAATTCACTAACTGCTGGACAACTATATAATGGAATATAACAATCATGCTTAACGTTATTGGTAGGCACGAAAATTTGTTATATATGATTTGATCAAATATGTTTAATTTGTGTATCACTTTTAGTTGGGGCAGGATCGGCAGGGTCAGTAATGGCCAATCGATTGTCAGAAGACCCAGGCACAAGAGTATTAATTCTAGAAGCAGGAGGGCAAGAAAATGTTGTGTCAGATATTCCTTTAGCTGCCGCTATGATCCAGCAAACTCCTTTGGACTGGTCCTATCAAACCGAACCTCAAAAGGCTGCTGGTTTTGGTTTGATTAATAGAGTAAGTTTATGTCGAACCTACAAATCATGTTTGTTTTGTTTTTCAAAATTTAATTCACTTACAAATCTTAATAGCCCATCTTTTTTCTCTCTCTTTGGAGAGAATGACAAGAATAATCAAGAATATTTCGTAATAAATTTTACAAAACATTTTAAATATAGAATAACAGCTATATTGCTTGAATATAAAGAGAAAAAATAATGGTATGACATCAGATTGAGACAACAGTGAATGTATTCATGTTTATGATTATAAGGAATTTAAAATATGGGTAAAGAGTTAATTATGATTAAAAGTGTAAATTCACTTTGATAAGTAACCTAAACAGTTTGATGTATCATTTCATTCATGTTTTCATTTTGATATTTTCTAACCATATTTTATAATTAAATACTTGCTAATATTTCCATATTACAATTCAAACATATATGTATATATATATTTATTTATTTAAACCCTTTTGACATAAAGAAAACCGGAAGGCAAAACACGCCATAGTATCGAAATTCTCCAGAGTATTTCCTGGATTATATCGTAGAGTGTGGCCTAGTGGTTAGCTTACCGAATTGTAGATCGGAGGGTACATGGTTCGCGCTCCGTTGCCGCCAAAAAATAACGTTCTCCACACTTCAGAATTATGTATGCATTATAGAATGGCAGTCAAATTCTACTATTTGTTTAGAATAGCCCACAAGTTGGCTGTATGTGTTGTTGACTAGCTACATTCCCTCCAGCTTATCAGTTCCAAAATAGGAATGGCTAATGGATACAGTCTTTGTGCAATCTCTCCTGCTGACTTCGCTGTAAGCTTAGAGACTTATAGTTTGTTTGTAATTAAGCACAAAGCTACACAATGGGCTATCTGTGCTCTGCCCACCACGGGTATCGAAACCCGGTTTCTAGCGTTGCAAGTCCGCAGACATACCGCTGTGCCATTGTGGGGGCCTAAAAGCTTATAAAATTAAAATCTGGGATTCAATTCCGTACGGCGAAAACAGCGCAGATAACCCATTGTGTAGTTTGCACTTCACAACAACCAATCAAACCGTGTCTAGCTGGATTGAAACAACCGTTTGACATCATAAGCCTGTTTCTTAACATGACTACTTTTAAACCCAAAATTATCATATTAGTAAGGTAAAAAATAACATTTACTTAATATAGAATTCAACGCATATTGTCAGTAATGTAGCATTAGTTACGGATAGTTCCGCCTCTGATTGCTATTTATTTATATTTTTCTTATACCAATACAAAATTGTAACTTTGGCAATAGACTTAGGATTGATAGGATCTACAATGCAGTGTATTTTAGTTTTTATGTGTCAATAGAGAGTACCGTGAAGAACTAAGACTGGACAAATAGTGCTACAAAAACATTTAAACACAAAATAATTTTCCCGTAACAGATTTTTGTTTGAAGTTAAGCACAAAGCTACACAATGGGCTATCTATGCTCTGCCCGCCACGGGTATCGAACCCGGTTTCTAGCATTGTAAGTCCGCAGACATATCGCTGTTCCGCTGGTGGGGGGGGGGGCGCAACAGATTCTGGATTGGTAAGTTCTAGAACATTTACTGTAAACATATTTTAGTCTGGTGAAGAACTTCTACCCGAAGCAACTCTGAACAAAAGTTTTAATTTAAACATATGTTAAAATATTGTTTTATTATGTTACTTTTGCCGAATATTAATACAACCAAAACACTTATTTTAAGTCAGGAGAACAGAGCGGTGAAACATTGAAACTCAACGATTTAAGTTTTCTTCCACAAACAAAAACATTTTTTGATTGTAAAATACTTTTGAAATATGCCTATTTATCTATTTTACAGCTGTTCCTGTTTTATACTCTAGTTTTTATTGACTTGTTGTATACTACGTCCTTTTTAAGTTTGATTATAGTTCTATTTTCTGATCTATTTGATGAATACTCTACAATCTGGTCCTTTTCTGCCTTGATTCTAGTCTCATCTTCTGTTCTTTCGCTGTTTCTTTGGTAAGATTCTTATTTCATCCCTTTGTTTTTCTTTGGTTTGATTTCTGTCTCATTCTCTGTTCTTTCTGTGGGTTGATTCTTGTTTTATCCCACTGTAATCTTTGGTTTGATTTCTGTCTTATTTTATTGTTATTCTTTGGTTTGATTCCTGTCTCATTCTCTGTTATTTCTTTGGTTTAATTGCTGTTTCATTCCATTGTTTCTCTCTGGTTTGATTGTTGTATCATTATATATTGTTCTTTCCTTAGTTTGATTTCCGTCTCGTTCCATTGTTCTTTTTTGGTTTGATTCCCATCTCATTCTCTCCTTATCTTAATTTCAGTTTCGTTCCATTGTTCGTTTTTGGTCTGATTTCCATTTCATTCTCTCCTTAGCTTTATTTTCTTCTCGTTCCATTGTTCATTTTTGGTCTGATACCCATCTCATTCTCTCCTTTGCTTAATTTCTGTCTCGTTCCATTGTTCGTTTTTGGTCTGATTCCCATCTCATTCTCTCCTTAGCTTGATTTCTGTCTCGTTCCATTGTTCGTTTTTGGTCTGATTCCCATTTCATTCTCTCCTTAGCTTGCTTTTCTTCTCGTTCCATTGTTCATTTTTAGTTTGATTCCCATCTCATTCTCCCCTTAGCTTGATTTCTGCCTCTTCTTATATGTTATTCTCGGCTTGATTTTTGTTCTATCATTTGGAGGTGCGATTCTGGTGATCTTCATATAATGTAACCGTTGTATCTTAGATTTGGATAGGAATAGCAAACATAAATTGCTTTTCATCTGTGTTTGTTTGTTCTGTATTATGTATAGAGAAATTGATATTCACTTTCAAAATGACATCAAATAAAACAAAACTACTATCACAATACTTCAAATAAAGGGTTACTTCAAGACTCTTCAAACTTCTCTGTATGCTTTGACTTACAACATTTTAATTATATAAAATTTAATCAACTACTTTATATAAACAGTTATTATTAACACATAAATTTTATGACAGAAAATCATAATGAGGCATGTCCCCAAAAGCACAGAAAGTTCCATCTCATAGCTACATAACTCACTAATATTCACTAAAAAATAATGAAATTTCGTTTTAGACTATAGTATGTGAACTCCACTAAATTTACTATGGAAATGTAACTATTTTATGAAAATTTTATATATCGTCTCCTCTTACCCACAATTTAATATTTTTAATTCTCATAGATAATCTTAAGGCATGTAGTTTTAGTCAAGTCTTGATTATAAGGAAATTGTTATTTAATAAATAATGGTACGTCGGGATTCCTGAGGAAAGACAGAATTTTCAAGGGCAACAATGGTATTTTCATCTTTGTATATTTAAATATTTGGACTGATTATGCAGTTTCTAATTATAATATATCAAAATTTTATGAGCAATATAATCAGTGTCGGCTCAAGTTCAAAAATTGAAGGGTGTGAAAATACAAAATGCGCCCTATTTCAAATTTTTATATTTTTATTTCTTCATTTATTTTTCTGTGGTTTACAAAATTGTAATTTTTTTTAAATTCAGTGTACAGAGTACAAAAATGGTACATATTAGAAAATATACATAAAAAAACAAAGATTAGTCCTTATAAGACGAACTTTACGAGCTTTTAACATACCAAAAACTTTTGTCTTAATTTGTCCGTATTAATTTCTTTGGTCATTTAATTTCCTATAGAAATTATTGCTAGACTGTTTATTCTCTCTTTTCCCATTGTGAAAAGCAAAAATATTTCTATCAACTTTAGTCTCGAGAAAGATCTTTTGCCATTTGCCAAATTGACGGGCAAAGTAAAAAAAAACAAACAAAATAAAAGCAATAAACGTATCTGGAAAAATTTCTTTGATTTGGTTTTCACATATATAAAATAAGACCTTACTTGTAGTTGAGTTTTCCGGAATTCGATGTCACATTAAATTAAGTTTTGCACACAAACTTTCGCCACAAATATTCCTTTTCTCTTTTCTCATTAGTATTTGTTCGAAATTCTTACATTTTTTGCGACCCTAAAATTTTGCGATGGGTTCTTTGAGCCCTTATAACCCGCCTTGAACCGGCCCTGAACATAATTAAACCTAATATTTCTATGTCGAAAAAGGCAAATTGGAAATTGTTCACCCAACTCTAATCCAACTTCAGTTTTTGCAATATTAATTATTATTGACGTACAGATCTTACGTATTGAACAAACAAATGTATAATTGGCAGTAACTGCCTTGTTCAGCGTGACGCTTGTGGAGAAAGTCTTGGAGGATTAATCTACAAAAGTAACACAAATGTAAAGGACGACTTTTCGAAAGATTTCAGTAATTCGACTTCAGGTCAGCATGGTAAACTAAACAAAGAATATCTGACAACAAAAACACCACTTATGAAATGCTATATTCCTATAAACAGTCTTACGTCGAATAAATTGGAAATACATTTTGGAGCAACAACAACAAAAATTAGCATAAAGACTACACAAGCCTGATGAAGACAGAATTATGCCTTGGTAGAACATACCATATTGACTGAACATAAAATAAATTAGAATAATTATACAAATAAATTCTGGAAAACAAGAAAACTCAAAGAATATTTCTACATCAAAACGAATAAATCACCACTAAATAGAGACTCAGTAGTTTGTGGTTACCGTAAATCCAATCATCACTCGTTCCACCAATAACTTTACAAGAACCACTGACCAATCACATCACGTCCACCTCATTCCTCCTGGATAGCATAAAAACCTCTGCAAAAACCGTTGCAAGCTGACCAAAAGGCAGAAATCTTTCGAAACGTCTGTGTTACTTTTATAAATTAGTCCTCCAAGACTTTCTACACAAGTGTCATGCTGAACTAGACAGATGCTGCCAATTTAAACTTTACTTGCTCATCATGAATATTCTGCCTAAATCAATGTTAAAGAATATCTTGGGCATTATTACGCTCTATACACAGATATGAGACTATTATGGAGGCTGGAATGCCGACTTCTTGAGTAAATGTTTCTTATTATCCTTAATGACGCCCCCAGTGGCACAGCGGTATGTCTGCGGACTTACAACGCTAGAATCCGGGTTTCCATACCCGTGGTGGGCAGAGCACAGATAATCCATTGTGTAGCTTTGTGCTTAATTACAAACAAACCTTAATGGCGAGTTTTAAATAACCTGGTTTATTTCATTTTCTAATTTCTCTTCTAGCTTTTCTGCTTCATTAGGAGCAACTTACTTTTACAACAGCCTGGATGGTATTTTCATGTGTTCCACGTTTGTGAAGAGATAAACTAATTTAATGTTTCTTGTCAGTAGATGTTTATTTTATTGAGGATGTCTTGAAAAGCGCTTGTTGTCAGTTGGATAAACTTCTAAACTGAATGTGTTAATTTTTCTTTCTGTAGAAATTGTCATTTTGCCATAGACCCCAATCTCTAATTTGCTTTAGTTTTAATTCTATCTTACATGAGAGACTTGCACGTACAAAATTAAACCTGAATACACTGTGTACGTCTACATTCTCAGGTACATTTCACTTTTCCCATATTGTATTTGGTACTCCAGTTATATTTGTTTGTGTGTTTTTTTGTTTTTTTTCGTTTTGTCTGGGAAGAATTTTAAACTCTAATCTAAGATATCCTTGGTAGAGTTGTGTTACATTCCCCTTCCTTTCGACGTTAAAATTGACGTTGATGTTGTTAAATCTTTACGCATATATTTATCTTTGTGTATATTAAAAGTGTGTAAATAAACTCACCTTTTCTGAAATTACCTGAGGTGATCATTTTCCTTGCATTCTCCATCTATGAATTCTTATGGTTTCTCCTTATTGCTTGATCGTAGACTGGACCTAAGTTTTCAGTGGGGTCTTCGATGATAAGAACAAATTTCAATAGGTTTTTAAACCAACACTGACAGACGCCTTAGCATGCAAACAACAAGCACCATGTTCTATCTAACTATGGGCTATTTCCTAATCTTTTAAAGTCAGAAGGGAAAAAAAATCGAAATGATAGGCAATTCTAGTGTCTTGAAATACGTGGTCTTCACTTCACGAAGCGGCCTGGAATTAAATATTTAGATACATTTAAGGCAATGTGGTTCAGCTGGTTTTATTCAATAGACCTCAGAAAGTTGGTAAAAAAGGAAAAAGGTTGTGGAGTGCTTGAGTTTGTCGAGTAAAGTATATCTTAGGGATATTCTTTTTACTTTGTTATAATTATTGCAATAGCGAGTGAGATGGCCTCGAGGCAAGGTGTTGGGTGGCTCAAGTGTGTTAAACTACATGCTGTATGTTCGAGGAAATCGACGAGATTACGATCGTTGGGAGAGAGAACATGGCGCTTACGGCTGGAGCTGGAAGGATGTTTTTCCATACTTTCTGAAAGCAGAAGACAACAGAGATCCTCCACTTGCAAACAATGGTAAGTTTTGTTGTTTTTGTATAATAATGATGTTAAACAGTAAATAATAGTAAGGTAAACTCACTTAACATCTAAATTCTAATCACTGTAAAGTATAGTTTTATATTTTTTCAGATAACCGACAGTAAAAAATTTTCAATAACACAATTTTCTCATGTACTGATATCTTCTGAAAAATTATAATTCTGGTTTTAACTAGTAAAATTCCAACAAATTAAACAGTTGAGTTTAAAATTTTATTATAGCAAGTATTCTGTGTTAACAAGAAACTAACATAAGTTCGACACTATTTAGACAAAGACATTATTTTATATATGTATTTCAAAAAGAAAAATAGAAAAACATTACTTAGAAGTTCCTGATAACAGTAATTTCCCAGACAAATAGGAATAATTTACGCTCCATATTTAGTATTCAAAATTACTGTTCCATAGAAACTATAGAGAATTTAAATGATTTAAGGATACTAACTATTTCTTCATTGCTGTCAAAAAATAAGATGAATTAATGTTATAGACGCTGGTGATAACAATTTTACATTATCTGCAATACCAATATAAATGAACGGAGAAAAAAACTTTTGTTTTAGCGTGTTTTGATTCTCAACTTATTTACATATTATTTTCTGGATGTTTCTACAGGATTTCACGGAAGAGGAGGATACCTTACTGTTTCTACACCACCTCATGTTATGCCCTTAGCACATGCCTTTGTTGAAGGTGGAAAATTCCTTGGTTATTCCAATGTCGATTATAATGGACCTCAGCAGTCTGGTAAGATGAGCGAATTGACTCAGACTTTTGGGATGTAGCACAATTCTAAGCATGCACAAAGTACTTGGAATCTATTTTTTCACATCAGAAATACCAGATGAACTTATACATTATTCATAAACATACTTGTTAAATGAAAATAATATATTTTTAAATGTGTCGAGTTTTTTTATTAACTGTTTGGGTGCACATTTTTGGTTCATAGGAATCTTTTCTATACTAAAAGCATGTAAGTATGTATGGGACCATACAGTTGGCGCCGTCTAAATTTGGTCGGGTGTAGCCTATTGGTTAGCGTACCAGTCTGTTGATCCAATGTTACATTATATGTTCCCCATTACCGCAAAAAAAATCGCTTTCCACTTTTAGGCTATAGATGTGTTATAAAATTTCCGAGAAAAACAAACTGTCTATACTTAATGTGCAGGTGATGCTCATCTAAATGAATGGATGCTTTATAAGTGTTAATTTGGAAAAGCCCTTCAGATCACTCAGTGGCAAGTCTGGGGGCTTATAACGCTAAAGATCGGGGTTTGATACTAGTGGTGGAACAGCACCTATAGCCCATTGTGAAGTTTTGTGCTTATCAACAACCAGTCTTATCAGTATAAGATTTGTTTTGTTTCGTATGTGGGGAGAAATAAAGGACAAAGTAAGTAACAATGAGGTCTGGCATGGCCTGGTAGTTAGGGCGCTCGACTCGCAACCTGCAGGTCACGGGTTCGAATCCCCGTCACCGAACATGCTCGCCTTTTCAGCCGTGGAGCCATTATAATGTGATGGTCAATCCCACTATTCGTTGGTAAAAGAGTAGCCCAAAAGTTGGCGGTGGATGGTGTTGACCAGTTGCCTTCCCTCTAGTCTATCACCCCTAAATTAGGGACAGCTAGCATAGATAGTCCTCGTGTAGCTATGCGCGAAAGTAAAAACAAACACATAAAATAATGTTTCTTGTAAACAGACGTTTGTTTTATTCAGAGTATCTTACGAAGTATCTCTTTGTCAGTAGGATAAATTTCTAAACTAGGTATGCGAATTTTGTAGGAACTATATTTTACGATAGACGTCATAAAAATTGTGAGACAGCTTCTATAAAACCAATGCTATAATTGAGTTTTTACTTTCATCTATTAAACAAATTTTCCTTTTTTTTAGTTTGGTATTGCTACCAGTTGACGTCTTTATTTGGTGTGTCTATAAATATATTTCAATTTTTATTCCGGCCTAACGTAAAATATAAATTAACCGGAAATGACTTAGAAAACATCTCTACTAATAATGATGTCAAAAAATGTGAAGCTCTAGCTTTAATAAACGTGATTAAAAGCGTGAAAATATTGAAAAAACGAGAAAAATATTTCTGTCTTATATCTATCGTATATATAGTAATATACTTGACTTAAGTTTTGTTTGTTTCGCATGATCACGCAAAACTACACAAGGCTATTTATGCTAGCTGTCTATAATTTTGAACTGAAAGACTAGAGGGAAAAACAGCTAATCAACAACAACCACCAACAACTCACCGTCGCTTTTATAAAACACATATGGCCTGTATGTGCGGAACGAGTGTTTGCAACAACGAATTCTTAGATTTAAAATCTGGCACGATAATCACAAGGCCACATCTGGCCTCTGACGAAAATAGGTACATTTTAGGTTTGCTGTGAATGGTATTACATACGTAATATATACATTTTTATTTTGGACTAAGTGGTATTGGGGGTTTATAACTCTAAAAAATGGGTTTAGATATACACGGTGGACAGACCACAAATAGTCCATTGCGTAGCTCTGTGCTTAACAACAAACACAGAGAAATTGAAAGTTGGTTCCTATTAACGGTAAGTGTGGAGAAACATATACAAGGAAATGTGTTTTTACCCTATTTATACAATGGAGTCTTAAATATATTTATATATATATAATTAAATTAAAATATAATACTCTATCTATGATAAATAACGGTTTGCTCTTTATTAATGATATTTAGACTTAAATGTTTTTCCGAAAGGCACCTGTCTTTGTGTCATTTTTAAGAGATCATTTTTAACACTCAATTTAATGAGAGTTTCAATATCAAGAAATTATTCATGGAGTCATATCCCTTAGCAACAGGGCTTAATTTTACATTGTTTGTAGGTAGACTTATATAAATGATAAGTAAATAGTTTCTCAATATTTGCCATATATTGAAGTATGTTTGAGCATTAGGAATTGCCCTGTGCTGCTCGTGTTTCTTTAGTGTGTATCTGGGAAAAGAAGTTTTATTCTATATCAGTTAAGTTGTGGAAACATGTCTAAAATAAGGAAATGTGTATTAATACAACAAATTTTCCTCAGGATTAAAAAAATCTTATCAATATTGTTTTCATTACTGTTTAATGTCACAATGTTTATTAATCGAAACCTTTATGAAAATAAACGAATTAACTCTATACTAGTAGTCTATAAATCAAATCAATTAATAGAAATGCTTTTTTGTAAACTGATTCTTAAAATATTTGAGTTAATCTTGTACAGAGGATGTAATTTTTTGAAAAAGTATGGCCGCAGTGACACCAAGAACGTTTTATTTTCGCATTAAAATATACCACAAACAGCACTTATTTTTCTTATAAACTTATTCAAGACAAGTCATATACAGAAGTTTAATCGCACTTTATAAGATCGACTTGCAGACAGTAATTAAGTGGGGAGTTAGAGAGTGTTGGTACGGCTATTATGCTCAGCATCTATACACTTGATTCACAGCATTTGACGTGCAACGCTGCTACGGGTAGGTTATGGTTGTCAGGACTTTGTCACAGCCTTTGCCAGGGAAAGGTCTTCGCAATTATTAAGCGATGTACAACCAAATGACACATATCCAACAAGGTAGCCTTCACTGTTGTTCATGTAAGCAGACAAAATTTCCCTACAAAGCATTTAGCAATAGATTCCAAAACCATACTCCAAGCTAATCTAGAGCAACGCTTTTATCAGTCAAATGGATGCTATGGTTACAGAAGAGAACCTTCAAACCCAAAGAGCTAATGCGATCAATCTGGGAATATCTTCTGGTACCATTATCGAAATAATAAACAAGCATTTAGAGCTGATGAAGGCTCATGTATCTAATATTCATAAGCTTCTAGGTACATCTTAAAATCAATGGTAGTTTCAATAAAAGGAAAGGGCTGAATAAACAGGAATATCATCAATCCTATTAAACCACATACCTTCAAATTCTCCGATATAAACATGAATATCATCAATCCTATTAGACCACATACCTTTAAATTCTCCGATATAAACATGAATATCATCAATCCTATTAGACCACATACCTTTAAATTCTCCGATATAAACATGAATATCATCAATCCTATTAGACCACATACCTTTAAATTCTCCGATATAAACATGAATATCATCAATCCTATTAGACCACATACCTTTAAATTCTCCGATATAAACATGAATATCATCAATCCTATTAGACCACAAGCCTCAAAAATTATCTTTATTTGGTCTGCTTAAACGTGGTTTTGGAAGCTGGAGTCCAATACAATAGATGCATTGTGGAAAGTTTTCTATGTTTATTTGTCTTACCTCGCCATCCAAGAAAGCTTGTCAGGTGATAGTACGTAATCATTGCCAGCAGACTGGCGGGATCGTTTGTATAAGGTGAGATTAACCCTAAATATTTCTATGAACAACTCTTATGTGAGTTATACAGTTGTAAAATAGCATTACCCACTGACACTTGCGTTTCTTTTGTGTTTTGATTATGATTATGATCTTCTAAAAATAACTTTAGACATTAGATGGTTTTATTACTTCATGCGTATATCGATTTGTGATAACACATTTTCTGAAAGTATTTTTATACCTAGAGTGTTTTTACTCAGAATGCCCTTTTATCATGTTTAGCCTAAAAACATCACAATAGTGTAAGTATTTATTTTATATTTTTTAAAGTTTAAAAGGTTAGGTTAAAACCAATTTCATAAAAAGTTAGTCTATTTTATCATAGTGTTAACATATATCTGAATTACTTTATTTTAAGATAGCTTATTTAGTGTTCATAATTTAATTTATTTTCCTTTAATCTTTTGACAAATTATTAATATTATTCTTTTGTTCAATTTTTACGATATGTATGCATTTTCTCGAGATGTTGTTTTATTTTCACTTTACTTCTTGTATAATTTTATTAATGTTCTATTTTAACTGCCAGAAGTAACCCAACTCCAACTTTGTTGCTTATAATTAAAATATTTTCAATTGGATTTTACAGGATTTGCAATTCCTCAGGGTACAATAAGAAGAGGAGCTCGATGCAGTACGTCCAAAGCATACTTGAGAACATCCAGTGGGAGACCTAATCTGGATGTTGTTATATTTGCTTTTGTCACTAAAGTAAGAATATTGTAAAAATTCTCATCTTCCTCTTATTCTTAAAAAGGTTGTAAGTTAAAGTTTTATTTTTAATATAATTAATATGATCATTAAACTGCACATCAGAATAGCAGAAAAGATTAGAAATAAGTTCATATATATATGTAAATATGTATAAAAATCTAAAACTTTATTGCAGGCAGTGTCTAGGTCACACAGCTGTTTTCTTTACAAATATTTCTGAGTTCTTTGTGCTCAAATGTAAAGGGTGGGTTTAATTTTGTCTGTTTTGTGGGTGTGCAGGGTTAGTCACGAAGGACCAAATGGTCCGTTGTTGTCTGAATGTTGTTATAAGTCAGTCTTTGCATCATTCACCCTAGTATTATGGTATTAATTATCCTGTTAATATTTTAGATAATTTTTGACGAGAACCTCCGAGCACGAGCGGTTACCTATGACAAGTTTGGAATGCAACATACGGTTTTCGCTAGAAAGGAAATTATTCTCTCTGCTGGCACTGTAAACTCACCCCAACTTTTGATGTTGTCAGGAATTGGCCCAAGAAAATACTTAGAAAAACTGGGTGTATGTATAGTTATTGGTACTAGGTTAAATATAAATGTATTGCTAAAAGTGTATTTCAAGACAAGTAAAGTTGCAATGGAAACAACCACAAAATTAGGAATCACCAAGTTCAACTAGTAAAAATATCTCTATGCTATAATTATCAACATTTCGTGTGGCTATAGCGTCGTATCATAGATACTAAAGGTATGTTTTTCAACAACATCTTTAGCAATACGAGATGAAGCAACCCTAGTCTTAGTTATAGAAAACAGCTTTTTTTGTTATCATTGTAAAAAAATTATAGATACATGTTTTGTTATTTGATTCGATTAAAAAACACTATCTTTAGATGCATTCAATGGAAGAATCTAAGTCACAATAAGTTATATCATAAACACTGCGTTGTTTGTACTCTCAGATACCAGTTTTAGTGGATCTTCCAGTTGGAAAGAACCTGCAAGACCATATTTACCCTGGAGCTTTGTCTTATGTTGTTGATCAACCAGTTACAGCCTACTTACCCAGAGCTTTTACCCTTCCAAATATCATCAGATATTTCGCTAAGGGGGAAGGTAGCGTATCTTTGTATAGTGAGGTCTGTAATTATTTAATGATTTGTCCTTAACTGAGGAACTTTACAAGAAAATTCCAATAACAGATTCACAATACGGTGTTATATGGAGATTACTTAGAATGCATTGATCACTAATTCTTTTGTTGAAAATACTCAATGTCATACCTAAATAAGTATGGTAAAATGAACATGTACTTTTTAAATAGATTTGCTAAGTAGCTTATATATATATATATGTTCTTTTTTGTTGTTTTTGTACTTCATACAGGTCCTCTAACGTTGCTAGGTGCTGTTGAAGGTTTAGGATTCATTAAGACAAAATTTGCCAATATCACAGATGACTATCCAGATATAGAAATCCACTTTCTTTCCGGAAGTGTAATCGCTGACGTTGGAAATTCTTTCCGCTCCAATCAAGGCCTCACGGACGAAGTATGACGAGACAAATAATAATAATTTGTATTTGAACCTGAAAATATTTTGATAGCATATACATTAATTTAAAATAAAACGTTATGAATATTTATATAAATTATTATATAGTAAATAGTTTGACATGTACTTAACATATTTACTTATATATCATAATAATTATTTATTCACTTGTTATAAATAATATTCATTATAATTAGTTTAACTTTACAAAGGAAACATAATGCACGCTCGAGTAACGCTTGTGGACCATCATATGAGGGCCGAGAGTGACCCAGTGGTTAGCGTACCGGACTGTGGATTTGAGGTTCAGTGGGTCACAATATATTACCACCAAAAACATAATCGCTTCCTTTATTTTGAAGCTGTAGGTATGTTATAAGAGCGATGGTCAAATCCCACTATTCGCTTAGAGAGTTGGCGGTGGGTGATGTCTATCACTTCAAAATTAGGGACAGCTAGCTCTCCAGTAATTTGGGCGAAAGTTAACAGTGACACAATATTATAATGTTTATTGTAAAAAACTTTAACAACAATTTCAACACATTTTAAACTAAGAATACAATTAATGACGGATTATGACGGGATATAAATATTTATTTATCTAAATTGATTTTACAAAAGCCAAATCACAAATTTTCCTAGAAACAGATTTCGTAATTCAATCATGTGATACCTTGTAGTTATTTATGACCAAGTTATTTCCAGTTAATAACTCATCTATATAATTACATATTTGTGTATACATATAATTCATAAACATGCTTTATGAAAAATTAATTCATGCTTTTGAATTTTGGTCAGCATTTAGTTTAATTAAATTTTGAGTGTACAAAATTTAAAAGTCTGAAACTGTAAGTAGACAAGTGCAATATCTAATTAAAGTGAGGTTATTCTGGATGATCCTATTATTTTGGAAACCGTGTATTTAGCTATTATTATATAGTCCTAGCTGTGGTTGAAACTTTACGTTATTACACCATTATTGCTGTTGATGGTGTTTAGTTTGATCGTGTAATAAACCTTAGATTATGATCATATTCATTTAGCTCTGGGAAAAGGTTTATGCTCGTTATCTCGGACAAGACACTTTTTCTTTGTTTCCCGTGTTGCTGCGTCCTGAAAGTCGTGGTTTCATCAAACTGCGATCTTCCAACCCGTACGATGCACCCATTATTGACCCATGTTATTTAACCAAAGAAAAGGACGTTCTAACTATTGTAGACGGTAAGTTGTTCAATTTGATCTAATTACAGTAGATGGTAAGTTGTTCAATTTGATCTAATTACAGTAGACGGTAAGTTGTTCAATTTGATCTAATTACAGTAGATGGTAAGTTGTTCAATTAATTCTAACTATAGTAGACGGTAAGTCGTTCAACTAATTCTGTCTGTAGTAGACGGTAAGCTGATATATTCTGCTATTTCTGGCAATACAAGCCTAGTAACGGATCATATTACACCAAGTTTCTTGAATTGAACATGAGTTCTTACAGTGAGTTAATACTTTAATACATAAGTTACCCTTCCGTGTAATCCATGACTGAGCATTGAGTTCTTTATTTTTTGCTTTAATTTCTTTCAGTAATTTAGCGTATTTAACTTATAATAAATAATGGAAAGCTTATATTGGTCATAATTAAAACGGCGTTTTGATTTCCTTAGTGTAAACAGCGTTGTTGGACAGCGAGTTTGTGATTAAAAGAGCTTCGAAATACATTGCTATCGTTTGCAGTTTCTCGTGTTTCTGAAGATGGCGCTGTTGTTCAAAATATCAATTTCACGTCGAACAAATTTTATAATATATTATGGTTCATAGCTTGAGAAATATTAACTTTAGTTTAAGGCATAATTTAAGTTACAATGTGGCGTTTTAATCCCTTTTTTAATAGGTTTTAAAAACTGATATGAAACATAGAACCTTGTAGATTTTACAAGAGCATGCAAAAATGTTGAATATATATTGATAGTATGACAAAAAGTTTAGAGAAGTATAAACTATGTTGTTGTGGGTTTAAACATATTTTTTTTTATCTACGAAATATCAGTGACTCGATTTGTTTATGGTTGTTCATTATTAATCACAAACATAACTGAAGGATTTCCTGTAACATAAACTGCCCGTTCTCTTACAGGAGTAATTTCTTTTCTAAAACAAATATAACCTCTTCAGAAATGACTTTTTGTAATTTTTCATTGTTCCTACACTTATGTTGTTGTTACTGTTCTCATAGCTATGAAGAAATGCTTAGCTTTAGCTCAAACGCCACCGTTTAAAAGGTTTGGAACACGATTAATTTCTGATGTCATTCCTGGGTGTGAGACTTATAAACCGTGGAGTGACGAGTACTTAGCGTGCTCAGCCAGAACACTGTCATATACCATCTATCATCCTGTCGGAACTTGCAAAATGGGTGATCCTCGAGATCCAAGCACAGTCGTAGATCCCCAGCTTAGGTACCGCCACTTTAAATAGTGCTATTTATTTGTTTTATCACTTTTTCCCACTAAGACATTAAACCTACTTGATTAAATACCTTAAAAATGTCAGTATGAATACTAAGACTATGAAGTTAGTGACCAGTAGTTTTATAATTTTACGTTTTCTAGAGATTTAATAGCAGGTAAACATGTATCAAATATTTACACATACCTATTCTACTATTGTTCTTTTGACCTGTTTTAATTGTATAATATGAGATGGCTAAAATACAATTGTTTTGTATTATATTTTCGTACATTCATTATTATAACATGATTGTAGTATCTTGGAAAAAAAATCCTCTTTCATAAATTTAACGTTCATAAATTAAGCATGCTCATAAAAGTAAATACATTCCAAACATTCACTCAGATTGAGACGGAAAGTTTACGGCAGTTTCATCTTTTATTGGTTTTTGAACTTATATGATTTATTCTCATTTGAATTTGTTTTGTTACATACTGAGAATTTAGAATAGTTCGAAGCCGATATTTTAGTTAATTTACGCTATTTGCCAACAAGATTGATACACACCGTCTTTGTTTTTCACACAAATACGTTTTAATATATATACAACGGTACAAATTACAACAACAATTGTTAAGAATAGTTACCACAAGGAAAGTTTTATAAAGCAAAAATTTCACCAACTTACAAACAACACAAAATCTTCTATCTAGTTCAGAGTCTTCTTGATATCCAGTGAGTTAATTTGAAGTCGATGTACGTACAATTGCCGAGAAGCTAGCCTTGTCAGACACTGAATTGTTGGACCGTCGAAGTAAGATAATATTTTCATAAAACCACAAATGTCCGATGAGAATTCAGTAATACTTTCGGAAAGATGCTAATGTCAAATGAGAATCCACTGACGTTCGAAATTTATAACTGTTCCTGGTTAAAATATCTTCTACTATCCGGTTGAAAAGGGGTAGCAAAATCACTGTTTATAGCGTACACGGCTGTAACAGGTTCCTAGCAGACTTATAAGCTCTCTCTCTTTGGCGCGTAGCCTTGCCTGTTTTATAGGTGCGAGAAAGGTTTTTCTCGAAAGTTCGGACAATACTGAACTATATTAAACTAGTTACGGAAGTGGATATATTGTCCATTCTTGCGTTCACGAATATTCTACAATCTTGGAGAATAGGCGGGAGTTTCGCCATACGCTTGTTTGTTTGAAGTTAAGCACGAAGCTACACAATGGGCTATCTGTGCTCTGCCCACCACGGGTATCGAAACCCGGTTTCTAACGTTGTAAGTCCGCAGACATACCGCTGTTCCACTGGGGGGGGGGGGGCTTCACCATACGTAACTAACATCATAAGTTAGGCACGTTTTTAAATATAAATTCATTCCAAACAAAAGTTGTCATTGAAATAAATATATAACAAATTCGTTATATGCAATACATATCTGACACTATAAGTTACGCATATTTTTAAATACAAATTTAATCAAACAACGTTCATATTAAAAATAAATACATAACAATACATTCGTTACAGTTTTTATAAATATCACTATTTAATTAGAGCTTAATAAATGATTTTGCTGATGTTACTTTTACTTTATTATCCAGATCGGTTTCGCTTTACCAAATTTAGTGAAGTAGGGCTAACTACCTACAGCTACAAAATCAATAAATGTTTTTACATTACTTCTTCTTTCAATAGAACCAACTATCCGGCGCTCGGTTTAAATCCTTTGTTGTGTCTCACAGACCTAGAAACAGTGTTTATAAACACAACCAATGTACCGTGATGTTTAAAAATATAATAATATTCTGCTTAGTTCAAAAAATTAGACCTAAAGTAGTATTTCAAAACTTTACAGATAAAAAAAAAGATAAGAATAATTACGTTTTTCTAAGTCTAAACAGTTCAGTATAAGACACAGATAGGCCTTCTGGAGAAAAAGTTTACATTTCATTCATGTAATGTTATGTATATATGTTTACTTATGATAATAATGCAGTCTTCGCTGGAACTTCATTTTAAAATTTTGCCTCCGGGCAGCAAAATACACAAGTCTTCCTTGTATTCAGGATAAATCTTGCAAATATTCTAGCTTGTCAAATTCTATGTAATTTGAAGTAACCGAAAACTAAAAGTAAAATCTGTAGTGCTGAAAATTTCAGCTTTACATTCATTATGCACTGTCAAATTATTATTATGAATTACGTGAAAAGAACATGTATGAAATAGTTTTCAAAACAAGTTGATAATAAAGACAATGTAATAAATATATACACATATATTGTAGGATATATATATAGATATTGAGACATGGCCAGAAAAACAGAATTTTACAGCTTAAAGTACAAATGTTTTTAGTTATTCAAAAAGACAAATGAGCAGTTTGACAAATATATATATATATATTTGGAAGAAAAATGTGAAGATATCTGAATTATAATTTCAAAATACTGAAATACGTTGTGCTATAAAAACAGGGAAAAAGGCCAGGCTAGATTTTTACATAAAATGTATACATATTTACATCTTTTTATTTGTTCTTTTCGTTTTCTGTGAAAGTAACTGACTTACTTATCTTAGTTAGCTGACGCCATTAATGAGAATGTTACATCAGTATATCTTATTTCAGGGTGAAAGGGGTGGCCGGACTGCGTGTTGTAGATGGCTCTGTGATGCCGGCAATTGTCTCTGGAAACACCAATGCTCCAATTATAATGATTGCAGAAAAAGCAGCTGACATGATTCGAGGAATTAATACTGTGCCGATAATTCACTAAGGAAAGAGAATTAAAGCTGTACCAAAGTTTATAAACCATAACAGCAAACAGAAAAGGTGGAACTCGATACGTTGATTTTATATAATTATGTGACTGAAAATATGTGTATGAAAACTAACATTAATGCAACGACAACATATCTACATGTTTTATTTATTCAGATGAAAATGTGTTACAAAAATTAAAATCATTATATTTAATTCTATTTATTTTTTGAGCTATTTGTCTCAGCTCACCATGTTTATAGATATATATATATATATATATACACAGTCAATTATTTGAAGGTATACAAATGGAGAATGACATAAAGTTGAATTGTGTTTCTTTAATCATTACAAGGTATTGTCAAGTAAACTTTTTAAACACAGTGAAAACAACAAAACAGTTCAATCAATTTTAAATAAAGAAATAAAAATGTTTGTACACTGGAACGTTTAAATATGCTGTATGCTTTATAAATTCAAAATGTTTACATACAAAAGTACAGAGATAAAGTGATCCGATTGACTGACTAGAGACATAATACAATAGTTCTCAAAATAAACAATGTCGAAATATACGGAATATATCAAGCTCTGGGTAATTAAACAATTACATAAAAAGAAACCTTACCAAACATACCAAACATTCGTACGCTCATTATTGTTATTCCCAGGGGCAGTATAGGCGTTCTTTCGAATGAGTTTTCACAATGTTTCCAATTATATATATGGTTTGTAGGAGATTTATTCAGTACAATATAAAATAAATAAACCAAAATATAAAATATTTAATGTTTCTTAAAATTTCCCTATTTTCCCTGGTTCCTGGAAATACAAAATGTTTGGTTGCAAAAAGGATTAAAACACATACTCTGACGCCATCTACTAAGAATGCATGAGTTGGCTTTGTGGTAGAGCTCAGGATTTCGTAGCTGGGGAGCCGATTTCGAATTCCTGCAATACCATAAAATGTCCCCCGCATTTTAGGGTGTAAATGCGTTTAAGAATGATAGTCAGTCTCTTATCATCGGTCGTAGGGTGCTGCTTAATGGCTGCCTTATTTGCTATAAGTAAAAAATACAACTACCTTTTACGAAAGTAATACAAATAATATTTTTGTCGTTTTTTTCATTCGGTTGATTTAACATACGTTTTTCTCGGAGTATAGTTATAATCTGCCGTTGCTTGTTAATTGATAGAACTGATATTTCAGGACAAATAGAACTGAATATGAGTTGTTTTAATTTTAATTATAATTGTCTTAGTGTAAGAAAAATAGATAATTATTCTGGAATGTGCCAAATTTGGTAATAAGAAGTAGACGATTACTGCTTTCATGCTAATCAAAAACAATCTTATCTTCTACCACCTAAAAGATGACTGATTTGAATCAATCAAAAATCAAATCACTAATACTTAAAAATTAAAGCATTTGAACAATTAAAACCTCATTTGAATGTTTTACGATCAATTTTTTTGTCATAAATTACGTTATTGTTATGTTTTTTGTGGTGAAAATCTGTGTTTTCACACGACGTTATTTTTCGTATTTCAAGTGGTGTGATCTACGTGTGTTTTAGGAATATAGTGAGTTTTTCACGGTGTGAGAATTATGATTTTCTAAAAAATCTCCATTACGTTCATAACACTTGTTATATGTATAGTGGAATAAGGAGAACTGATTATTTTCAGTAGTAAAAGTAAATTGCACTCTGTCATCCTTGTAGATTATATAGGCTGTGTCCCAATATTTTGACTTTCATTACATATATAGATATTAAAATACGAATTATACGTCAATCGTTTTAGATATAAATGTATGCATCCTAAGTTTGGTAGTTCTCTTAATACTGGTGTATTGTTTTTATATTATGCTATTTAAAGAATAAACCCAAAGAAATTAGTATTAGTTTGTGAAATTTCTTTGTTATTAATTGTTTGCAACATATTTTGCATTTTACTGAAATTAAGTTTAAATAAAAATAATCTAATTATATTTTGCTATAGAATTCCCATAGAATATATATATGGTTTAAGCTTGAATATAATATTTTTAACGCTTATGTTCAGTTGTTTCTGATCTACATTATTGTATTACACAATCAGATATAAGCAAGTGTATTGCTCATAGTGTTCATCAATTGCCAGTAGCTTCCATTTAATTAGATTGGAGCAATACCAAGTACAATAGGATATAAGGTTAGACGAAAACAAATATAATATTTATGGTAAAGTATAATCTTGTCTCAGTTCAGCGCGTTTTTAAGTAGACAGTTATGATTTTCAGTTGATATTTTAAACTAGAAATAAACGATTTTATAACACCAAATTATTGTTTTTATTTAATTAGACACTCAACGTTTGGCTTTACATCTTTTTCAGCAGCGTTCAACTAAAACAAAAACCGAAACTGACAGTACTTAGCTTCAAATGATTTAAAACATTTCTAGTATTATTTCTAGTGTTAAAATGTATTCTATATACTAATAAGCACTACAGAAATTAAATAATGATATTTTAAACTATTTAAATAATAAATTATATTCAACTCTGTTGAGATCTAATATACGAAAATCATCTTTTTATATTCTTATTTTTTTTCCTTTCCCTATATATTTCGTATATTGTACTTCCAATGTTACACTAGCAAATGGTGATATTTTTTATACATTATACGTGTTATTTTATGCTTTATGTTTGTGTCGAATAGATCATTGGTATGATTGTATGTGTTAAACACTACCAAATGAGAAAATTGTGATAGAAAATACTCTCTGATTTAGTATGAAAAAAACTCTTCCTTAGGAAGTGTTAAGCCCCATGTTTATTTACAAAAAACAAAACAAAATGCATTGTTTAGTAAGAGCAAGGACCACTTGTTTATTAAGTATAAAGCTCCTTTATTTATTAAGTGTAAAACTATTTTGTTTAGCAAGGTTAAAGCTAAAGAAAGGAAAAGTTCACTTGGAAAGTGGAAGACCCACAAGTTTAGGAAATGTAAAGTTAGATCATTTGTAGAACTAAAGCATGTGGTCATTCAGTGTTTGATAATATTTGATAATTTGGTAGTAACAAACTGATCTACAAATAGAAGTGCGGAGAAAAATTGAGTGACTGAGATGTTTGAAGAACCTATTATATGCATATCATTTGTAATGCTTAGACTGTTATGTATCTCTTAACCAAACTAGTTTATAATGCCTTTCACATTGATTTATAGACTAAACTTGTTAACCAAAGGTATTAAGTTGTAAATATTCATTATTTAATAATATTCAGGTTTTCATTGGGTCTGAATAACTGAAGTCAGAATATTTACTTGCGGTTGTTTTGTTTGTTTTATTGCTTATATAAGTTTGTTTTATAATAAAGTCAATATCTGAAACTTATGTGGTATTAACTTCCTCAAAATTACAAACATTGTCTTAAACTTTATGAAAACACTCGTTATTTTCCGAAAGTTATCAGCTGGACCTTAGAAATGTACTTTATAGACTTCGACACATCTTTTTAACTAGAAGGGTTTTGCTGCTGTAACGCATAAAGTATAACTAAGTTCTTCAAAAATATATATCTTAGTATTTTTATTGTTTAAGACTGTGTAAGAGAAAGTACATAACCACCTGAAGCTTTTAATATTTACTACTACCAGTTTAATATACTTTATTGTTGTGTCAGTTATTCTATGTGAATGAAGGACTAAGACCTTCGAAGAGGACGTTAGGTGCTATAAACTGATAACTACTTATGACAAACAACTTTCTAAGTGAATATGACATGCGATCCAGAACCTCTTAATCAACGGATCCATTAGCGCCATCGATGAAAGGTTTTAAAGTTTCTGCAATAGAATTAAACTGATTATGAATAAAGTTAGATTTATATATAATATCACCGAGACAGTGTATAAACTATCTTTTTTTTGTTATTTAGTAAAATGTTAGTAACCAACACAAATATTAAAATATCTTCAGTGAGATTAATCAGAAATTTTAAATAAAGGCTATGAGTCACTTATGACCTGTGTAAATCAGTGTATTGTTTCTTATCAGAGTTACTTATGGCCTGTGTAAAGCACAGACTCTGAAATGGTTAATCAGATTTCATATAAGCTTTTTGTACATAGTTTGTTTGTTTGTAATTAAGCACAAAGGTACACAATGGGCTATCTGTGCTCTGCCCACCACGGGTATCGAAACCCGGATTCTAGCGTTGTAAGTCCGCAAACATACCGCTGTTCCACTGGGGGGCAATTACCTTAAGGACTTTTCAAATGTGGCGACTTTGATGAGTGTCCTATCTATATATAGTTCAGGTTTTGTTTTCCTTTGTTTAGTTGATTTTGTGAATAATATTACCCGTGTTTTATGGGTATTTATTTTGATCCTCCCTTTGTTACAGATTGTTCGATTTCGAATAATATTGGTTGTATATTGTATGATGCTGTTATAGGTTTTTGGGCACTCTTCCAAATAGCCACATCACCTGCGAACTGTAAGCACTGTCTGAAATTTGAATCTTATAGAGACATTTTGTTTATATACATGATGAATAAGGTAGGGCTAAGTACTCCTCCTTGTGGTCCTCCTGCTTCGGGGGGTGAAGATATCAGAGAAGGTGTCTTCCACGTCTATTCTAGTACTCCTACTCTCCAGGAAGTTTGTTAACCAGCGAATAATTTCAGTTGAAAATCCCATTTTGGACAATTTATATGTAAGACTATTAAGCCAAATTCTATTAAATAATTTCTCTAAGTCGAGGAATCATCCAACCGTGCAGTGCTTTCTATTAATACTATTTATTATTTCCTCTGTTAATCTAATTAAGTTATCAGTAGTTTGTCGGTATTTTCTAAAGCCGTTTCGAATTTCTGTAGTTTTGAAGTTAATTCTAGATAGGTGATCAATCTGTTATCTAGTATTTTTTACTAGTAATTTTCCTATACAGCTGGTTAGACTGATAGGTCTGTAGTTTTCTGGGTTATTCACTGGTTTATCTTCCTTACGGAACATATGAACATCAGCTTGTTTCCATCAGCGGTCGGTATATAGCCTGATTTGATATATAGGTAAAATAGTGCTGCCAAGTGTTTGTAGCATCTCGGAGGATTCTTGTTCTTTAGTATATTTTGTCTTGTCCCGGTACTTTATTTTTGGGTGTTTTTATGTTGCTTATCACTTC